ACTTTATCAAGCCTACCCTGATATGGATTTCTGCTTTCAGTTTCCACGTAATAAAAATTAAGTTTACAAGATCTTCTCTAGGAGTAAACTCCTAGAGAAAAGAAATAATTGCAAAACAGTCATCAGAATAAAATAGAATAGAATAGCTCTTTATTGTCGCTGTTACAAGAACAATGAAAGGCAGTTTGGCATTTCTCCATGTGTGTGAAGTACACAATAGCGTAAATATTTACACAATAACACAGACAAATTTACACTTACACAAGAAAGATATGTACATAAGCTGCTGCTTTACAGAATTCAGTGTATAATAAAAGTCTTGGATCAAGTTTTGATCATTTTAGTACTTAGCCCACTATAATAAAAAAAACAAAAACCTAATCAAAACTTAGTCAGTGTGTGCTCTCACACAACTGCAGTACAGCTCTGAGAATACATGCTGAGGTTTATTTGATTAAGGGGACCTGGAGGACTGTCCACTTTTATACGTGCTGTGCAGACTATGTTACAACTGATAAGTCAATTCAAACATTTGCACCCGTCCTGGTTGACAATCAAGGTTCAAAGATTCCGTAATATTTGTAATATCTTCACTGGATTCACAGATGACACAAGGAGAGGCATTAAGAAGAAAAAGTAAATTTAAAAAAAATCTAGGGCCATCTGACAGGAAATGATCAATCTTCATGCTGGGCTGTAAAAAACAGTTTGTTCACAGAGAGCAGCAGGGACCAAAATCCCTCTTTCTTGGAAGTGCACACAATGTCTCAGCTCTCTTTCATTAAGAGGTCTGTGTTTATTTTATTTTTTTTTACTCCTGCACAGTTGTGCTCCACTTAAACAGGTATGGAGCACAATAATTTTGTTGTATATTTATAATAACAAAAAAGGATTATTCTATATCCTTTGTTAAAAGTATTTTTAACGAAGATAAATATTGCTAGTGAACTATGTTCTGGAGTTGTATATTGTTAATGTTCAAATAGTGTCAGCTCCCACTTATTAACAAGTGGGAGCTGGGTTTTTTGTTGTTGTCTTGTTTGTTTGTTTGTTTTTTGTATAATGTGGAGGACCACCAGCATCTTAGGTTGCGTTTCGATTACAATATTTTGTTGTATTGTTCTGACTCCAATTCCTCCACAGAGTGGACCAGGAGAGCTCAGAGGTTCCCAGTGGTCAGTCTGCCCAGCAGCATCAAACACACCTGGACTCCTTATTTAAGGTACATATACAACAACTACATTTACATCTATTCTATTCACAGTTATTTCCATGTTGTGAGGTGAATACATCATAAAATTATAAATATTAAGCACAAATCAGAATACGCAGGTTTAAAAAAAAATGTTTTAAGGCTGGCTTTAGAGCTGGGGTGAGAATGCATGTTGTGAATGTGGTGCAGCAGATAGTTCTAAACACAAGTGTCCACTCAGCTGAAGGCGCCAAAACCCATGATGTGAGCAAATGGTAACAGTAGCAGTGAAGTAGGATCTTAGAGTAAAATTAATGTCATACTTTACAGGAATCCAGTGAAGTGGTTGAAGGACAGGAGCAATTAGCTAAATAGAAGGTATTCTGGCAATGACACAGGTAGCTGCGTTTTGCACTGGGTGAAGTCTATGGAGAAGTTTGAGTGGTAATCTAGAAAGGATAGAATTACATTAATTAACATAGGAGAATGAACCAGAGAATGAACAAGAATAGTCGTATTGTT